AAAAAAGATTTCCCGATTAGAGGTATCGAGAACGATACGTTCTATGAAAATGAGACCAAAATTTTTTTGAATACGCTGCCAGAAGAACAGCGATCTCTTCTGCAAACGGCAATTCAAACCGGAGAACTTGACATGCACACCTTACGATCTACTATTGGGTTTGTCTTACTTCCATTTTTATCGGTTAGTTGAAATTTTTAAATGTTGAAAGTGAAAGCTTCAGAATACTCTTTCTAGAAATTCCAGCAATAGAAAAAAGCAAAATGAAGGAAAGCTTTTGGAATGGATACAAGAAAATCGAAAAAAAACAGTGGAAGAAATGTCCGCTTCAGTCATTAAATTACCATACTATGGCCAATATTGTGGCAGTTTTGTTGGTCAAGTAAATTATGTTATAATTCATGAACTTTGCATTTTTGTTTTTATTGAACCATATTTTTCTGTTATCAGCAAAGCATAAGGTTGAACTTTAGACCGTCGAGAGCAATCACTTCAATGCAGCGGGTGCGCTGTGGGCAGTTGATAACCGACGATTTATTGTTTCTAAATTTCACTTCAATCCTGGAACCTTACTGAATGGTAAAGCATCATTTACTTACTTCTTTATGTTAATCTTTACATGACCAACGGATATTAAGGAAAACTTAGAAGAAGTTGCCTTTTTCACAAACATTTTAAAATTTTTAGAAAATGTGACCTTTTGGGTTGGCCCATATGAACGAACCAGTAATACTATAATCGACATGACTCCTAACGCTAATGGCTTCTACTTAAAGCCCCAGCCTATCAGCTTGACCGTCTTTTATAAATCAGATATTCAGGTACATTAAATTATCATAATGTCTAGACTCAGATGTGCTAATTGCATTTTAATCCGGTTATTGATACATATTGACAACACTGGAATTAATAAGTATGTCTTTATAGATTGTCGAGGCGCGCACTCGCTCAACATTGACCTCACGCTATAAGCGAAGTAACTTATATACTGAGTTATCTGATAAGAATATTGTTCATATATTTGATGAATACATGGATGCTAAGGAAAGCGATAACAATTCGTCGGTGCAACTTTTTGAGAAACTTTGAAATAGTTGTTAATCTAAAAGCTCGACTTTGCTTTATATTAAAAATTTTCGATTTTTACCATTTAAGAGGAAGTATCTTGTATGTTAAAGAAGCAAATCACGGGAAATCAATCAAACTTAAAGAAGTATTCTAATGCATTTATTTTTTAATTTTTTTTTCAGAAACAAGTTACAATTACGGACAAATTAGGCAGTAATAATTTTTCCAAAAGCGATTTCACCACCACTACAATTTTTTTCAAGTACTCACTTTGTAATTAAGAATTTGAAATTGTTAAATTTGAATACCAATTGAACTTTATTGAGTGAAAATTTAGTGAAATCAAAGAAATTACTAATACGCGAAGTTTGCTAAATGAAAATAGCGGCATGGAAGCTCTTGGATGGTATGCTGGCTTTCAGCTACTTTTACTAACTTTACCGGATAACAAATGGATCGGACCAATCAACTGGATTGCAATATGGGATCACAAAAGACAAGTGGAAACTTTTTTCTCATTATTTTTCTGTTTGAAAGGCATATATTGTAGCCCTTTTTTTTAAAAAAAAATCAATTTCAAATTGAGAAACATTAAGATTTCTAAAATTTGCTGGGACTGTTTTTTTTCTCATTAATAGTAAAATTTCCGGAACAATTTCTTATACAGCATGCTATTGCACATGTATCAATTCCAAATGGACCAGCATTTAAAATACCAGCAATTGTTCAACTTCGAGGTTTAACCCCCAATAATCTATATAATGTGAAATCGAAATATACCAAGGTTTGTATCGAATTTAAAACTAATGTCCATCTCAAATATTTTGCATTCATATCAGTTGGTTTTTCCATATTCTGGTATTATTAATTATTTTAGATTCTCGACACAAAAACCATTGAAATAAGCGAACTTTACTATAGAAGCAATGGTTTAGCAGCTTGGTTCGTTGTTGGGAAGGATATTTTACCAAATAGCAATGGCCACATAGTACCAACTTATGATAAGTATGGTATCTCGAAATTGATGTATTTCAAAAATTTTATTTTGAATTGTTTTAGGAAATTCTTATATGCATGATGTATCATCACATTGCCCGGCAAGATTCTTTAGTCTGATTTGGCTCTTATAATTTCATGGCAGAAATGTGAACTTGAATAATGTTAAATTGTTGAGTAGATTGAATCTGAAAAGTCATTTTTTTTAATCGATAAATTGAAACTTTAATAAGATTTAAAATAAGTGATGATATTATTTGCAGAATAAATAATATCTTCGACTGTGATTCACTTCGTGATTACACGAACGAAACGATAATACTAAAGCTTCCAGGACATTTGGACATCAAAGATGTCTTTTGGTTTTCTGTTTTCTCTATGGAACAAAGCTTATCGTTATCACATCTTTATTTTCCATACAATGACATGCATTTACCTCCTGATCTAACCGATATATCAGTAAGATAGATTTCTAACCTTTTAAGGCATATCAAAGTTCCAAACTTCACATCTATTGCCTAAATATCATTTCCAATTTCAGTACAACAATAAATTTTTTCTTAAAAATTTTCGGAAGGAATTATTAATTGCAGCAGGGCAGTTTCATTTTTGAATAAAGTAAAAACGTCGAAATCTTTCAAATTCATCATTGTTAATGATATTATCTTCTGTTATGCAACTATCTAAATATTATTTCTGTAATTTCCAAATATTTTAGGCACCAAATTGTATTTGGAAAAACAATTAGAGTAATGTGCGAACTCGGGCAATTCAGTGAAATATCAATAGCAATAGGAGACAAAATGCTCTAAAGAAGAAATCTATTACATTACTATCATTATAATATATAAATATAATAGTAATTCTTACTGCCATTATAATTATTATTATTGTTACTATTGTTGTTATTATTATTGTCATTATTTTTACTGTGTATTAAAAATTTTGTACAAAGACAGAGACTTTGATGAAGACTGAGATTAATAAAGGAAATGGTTGGAGAAATTGGCAAAGAAGATGTAGAAATGATTGAAAGGATTATACAGACATCATGTGAACTCGTATCTTGGCCTAATATAAGAGTAATATAGCCTGAAGCACATCATCTCTTCGCACATTCCTTTAAGGCAAATATTGTCAGATCGTATTATTGTTTAAATGCTAACCTTTAAATGTTAGGTGAATACTTTTGCTGAAATACTCAACCTAAATATTTTGTCTTAATGACAACAACATTTCTAACAAATGATATTTAAGGCACTTAGTCTCAGTCTAAAAATTTTAATGAGCAAAATGCAAGTACCAAGTAAAATTAATCAGCTTTAAGAATCACCATATTTATTGTTATTTAAGTGTCTAATATT